AGATTTTCCAAAATGGTAATCCATGCTTCGAAAATAATAGATTTTATAAAAAAACCCGACCTGCGTAAAAAAATTAACTTTTAGTACAATTTTTAAGTATTAGTTTACATTTTGTTAATATTTAAGCATTGGTAGCTAACTGCGGATCTAAAAACTGCTGCGGCCTGTGTTCACAAATGCAGACGGAGGATTTACTCTGTTTGTTGTGGAAAAAAATTACGTGATATTTCTCGACACCCCCCCTCTCCCCCACGTGAGATTAAGTGAGGTTTTTCTGGACCCCCTCCCCCCCTAAAAGTCTCACGTAATTAATGGACGCCCCCTTACTTCGAAAAACGTTATCCGAATTATCCGACATTCCTCTCACGCAAAGAGAAATGCCAGCATGAGCGACGGTGTAATTAAACCCGCAACTACGTAAACAGCGTTTTGGAGTAGCCCTGCAGAGTGAAGCACACTTATTAACCCCAAAACGGATCGGAACCGTATCAACTCGAGCCGGTCAGTATTCTTTACAGCAAGATGTAACAGTATGAAACTCGTATTGCAACGCAACGCAACTTATCCGCAGCGTAACGTAATCGCCTCGACTTACGATGAAAGGCGAAACGGTATTGATCCCTTTCCGGGGTTTTAAGTGTGCTATGACCTTAATACACATCTGAAGATCCGCTCTTCTCAGCAGCACGTACTCTGTTATGAGCTCTGCCTGTGAAATAATGGTTTATGTTTGGCCCAATGGTTGTGATAATGACAATGTTTTAAGCCTTTTACAAAAACGGCATAGCAGTCCGACATATTTTGAAAATATTTCGTACCAAAAATGTTATTGAAAGATGGCGTATTCAACTCACTTGTTGTTCATTTCATAAAGCGGCGTCCATTCCAATTCCTCAAAGCTGTACAACTTGACAACTCCTGATTCAAGTCCCGCTGCGAGCACTCGGCACTCCCGTAGGATCAGTGGCGCGAACGCCAGCGCCGTCACCGCCTGGTTCGGCTCCCGGTGTTGGTTGTATAACGCGTAGTCGTTTAGGGACGACTTCTGAGCCGCTTCTATCTTAGCGACAGCGCACATTGGGCGAGAATACGTTGCAATTCCGCGATATACAGTGTGAGTCACGTTAAAGTGTACATATGAAAATAAATGAAACTAGACCTATTTTTATCGACAAAAAACAGGTCAAAAATTTTTTGAGATTTTTTTTTAATTTTTTATAGAATTTCTTTTCTTCCAATTACTTATTTTAAAGAAAACGTAATAACTTTTAAACTAAGCGGTATATCCTGATAAAATTAAAACAGTAATAAATCTAAATAACAGGCAATACTAAAAAAAATACGTAAAATACACAAAAAAGGCCAACAAATAATAAAAAATGATACTTTTTGAAAAAATTTGCTTTTAAATTCGTGTTTTTTTGGTTATTTGATAAATTTCTCCAAAAAATGCCCCTATAACCGGTGGTTTTTATTACTTTGTATTATTCTCTATCGTATTACCTTCGTAAAACCGTAAAGTCTTTATCCCTATCACAACGTTTGCAATGATCGTTTGAACTAAGCCTCTCCGGGCGCGCCATTCAACGCTTCGTTAACAACGAAACTGAAAATGGCTCTAGATTTGTAATTTTGATAAAGACAAGTTAGATCTATATATATAAAAGAAAGTCGTGTTAGTTACTCCACTTATAACTCAAGAACGGCTGAACCGATTTAGCTGAAAATTGTCAGGGAGGTAGTTTAGAGCCAGGAGAAGGACATAGGATACTTTATATCCCGTTCGAAATAAAAAAAAAGTCTGCTTATTTATTGCCATTAAGGCGGAACAAAGTTCGCCGGGTCAGCTAGTTTCAAATAAAAACAAAAGATTTCGAAGTAAAATAAGCATTTTAGTTAAAATTAAAATTGTCTCTACCTGTAGCGGAAAATAATGTTGCGGCAGGCCTTTGTTCAAACGATCATAGCAAATGTTGTGATAGGGATAGAGACAGGCGATTTTTGGTTTTACGAAGGTAATACGATAGAGAATAATACAAAGTAATAAAAACCACCGGTTATAGGGGCATTTTTTGGAGAAACTTATCAAATAACCAAAAAAACACGAATTTAAAAGCAGTTTTTTTTCAAAAAGTATCTTTTTTTATTATTTGTTGGCCTTTTTTGTGTATTTTATGTTTTTTTTAGTATCGCCTGTTATTTAGCATTATTACTGTTTTTATTTTATCAGGATATACCGCTTAGTTTAAAAGTTATTACGTTTTCTTTACAACAAGTAATTGGAAGAAAAAAAAATCTATAAAAAATTAAAAAAAAATCTCAAAAATTTTTTGACCTCTTTTTTGTCGATAAAAATAGGTCTAGTTTCATCTATTTTCATATGTACACTTTAACGTGACTCACACTGTATAGCGACGACAAGCTAATAATATGAAAAGAGAGACGCGCGCATGCGTTTTGTGGCCGCGTCTGTCGCCGCGTTTTGTCGCCCAATGTGCGCTGTCGCTTAGATCGGGCACCCGCGCAAGTTTTAGGCAGGTCTAGGTCTTTTAGCGTAGGCCTTTACCCCTGGGGTAGTCCAGAATACTACGATAGCGTATTTATGTTATAGACGCAAAGAAACTCACTTGCTGTTCATTTCATAAAGCGGCGTCCATTCCAGCTCCGCAAAGCTGTACAGCTTGACAACTCCTGATTCTAGTCCCGCTGCGAGCACTCGGCATTCCCGTAGGATCAGTGGAGCGAACGCCAGCGCCGTCACCGCCTGGTTTGGCTCCCGGTGTTGGTTGTATAACGCGTAGTCGTTTAGGGACGACTTCTGCGCCGCTCCTATCTTAGCGACAGCGCACATTGGGCGAGAATACGTTGCAACAACAATGTACTTTTATAAAAAGGGAAACCTGTCATTGGCTATACTATCAGTCTAAATCTTATAACTAACATTTTCAATGTATCGCTGTTAGTTTCTATAAATAAATAAATAAACTCCGTGACATATCGCGACGACAAGCTAATAATATGAAAAGATAAAACGCGCGCACGCGTTTTGTGGCCGCGTCTGTCGCCGCGTTTTGTCGCCCAATGTGCGCTGTCACTTAGACCGGGCACCCGCGCAAGTTTTAGGCAGGTCTAGGTCTTTTAGCGTAGGCCTTTAACCCCTGTCGTAGCCCAGAATACTACGATAGCGTATTTATGTTATAGACGCAAAGAAACTAACTTGTTGTTCATTTCATAAAGCGGCGTCCATTCCAGCTCCGCAAAACTATACAACTTGACAACTCCTGATTCGAGTCCTGCTGCAAGCACTCGGCATTCCCGCAGGATCAGTGGCGCGAACGCCAGCGCCGTCACCGCCTGGTTCGGCTCCCGGTGTTGGTTGTAACAGCGCACATTGGGCGAGAATACGTTGCAACAACAATGTACTTTTATAAAAAGGGAAACCTGTCATTGGCTATACTATCAGTCTAAATCTTATAACTAACATTTTCAATGTATCGCTGTTAGTTTCTATAAATAAATAAATAAACTCCGTGACATATCGCGACGACAAGCTAATAATATGAAAAGACAGACGCGCCCATGCGTTTTGTGGCCGCGTCTGTCGCCGCGTTTTGTCGCCCAATGTGCGTTGTCGCTTAGATCAGGCACCCGCGCCGGTTTTAGGCAGGTCTAGGTCTTTTAGCGTAGGCCTTGAACTCCTGGCGTAGTCCAGAATACTACGATAGCGTATTTATGTTATAGACGCAAAGAAACTAACTTGTTGTTCATTTCATAAAGCGGCGTCCATTCCAGCTCCGCAAAACTATACAACTTGACAACTCCTGATTCGAGTCCTGCTGCAAGCACTCGGCATTCCCGCAGGATCAGTGGCGCGAACGCCAGCGCCGTCACCGCCTGGTTCGGCTCCCGGTGTTGGTTGTATAACGCGTAGTCGTTTAGGGACGACTTCTGAGCCGCTTCTATTTTCGACCAGACGCATATCTGAAATCAGTCATTGATGGATGAGATAATGGGTTACAGGTGAGAAACGAATAAATTGACTAACTACATCAACTGTTCTAACTATAATCCCAAACTAGAAAACTAACTACTACATAAATATTCATTTATTATGTAAATAAACATATTTATACGTCTCTTGTGTATTTTGCTACATAATATACGTGTTCAATTAATTTTACAACCAGTACAATAGATAATGTAAATAATTATACTAACAATGATACATATTTGCCATATATTATGTTACATGGCAATGTGTTTATGTAATTTAATATTGTATCCTTTTCCACCACATTCATGCGCAATAAACTACTTTTGGCCATAGGCTCACTATAAATGAAAAATCATTCATAGAACTAGTGACTACCTACGAATTTTTTCGTTCGCCATACTCACCACTGAGTGGGTTTCTTCTAGTAAGGCAGAAAGTCAATTTATAGCGTTTATTGTACGAAAATCTTTTTGCTTTTTTTGACGCTCAAATCAAGCACTTTTGACACAGCTGGTTATAACGCGGTAACGTTAGAACGATTTCGCAAGACGGTACCGTTATATCGACTCTATCCGTCTCTTTCTAACCGAGACAACATACATTCCAAATAAGTAAAAGGAGTACAGGATTGAAAAAAAAAAATATTTTGGTGTAGACAAATCTCGAATTCAAGCCAGTAGCACGGTAATAATATCATACAGTATTGTAACTTCATATTTAACAGACGAAACGAGAACTTTCTTTCGAAATTCAAATCTCGGTATGCGCTCGGTATGCAAAAGTCGGGGGTGTCGCGAATGCGAATGTGCCGAATGGACGTCGGTGGCCGTGTTAAAAATGACAAAACTGATTGAATTTGACTGACCGTCATTTACGGTCAAATTGGTCAAAAATTAGTCAAATTGACATTTTCAGTCAGTTTGATTTGAAATGAAAATTATATTGTATTAAACCAGCTTTTGCCCACGACTTCGGCCGCCCGAAATTAACGTAACAGATCGTTATGATTATTAAAGTTTCAAAATTATTTAAGTAGATTTTACTAAATTAAATCTACTAGTACCTATTCCATTCACAAAGTATTTTGTTTGTCTAACTAAATAAAAAAATACAATCACAAAACTATACAGGGTGTTAGGTAAATGGGTATATGAGCCGACACTAGCCCATGCTAACATGCGCATATAAATGGTATGGTGAAGTCAGAAAATTGATATCTTCGTTTTAATATTTTAATTTTCATACAAATCGGATTTTATAAAATTTACTAGCTTTCCGCCCGCGGCTTCGCCCGCGTGGAATTTTGTCTGTCACAGAAAAACTTTATCGCGCGCGTCCCTGTTTCAAAAACCGGGATAAAAACTATCCTATGTTCTTTCCCGGGACTCAAACTATCTCTATGCCAAATTTCATCAAAATCGGTTGCGAGGTTTAAGCGGGAAAGCGTAACAGACAGACAGACAGACAGACAGACAGACAGACAGAGTTACTTTCGCATTTATAATATTAGTTGGGATTTTGTATGAAAATTTAAAAAATTAAAATGTTGATATCAAATTTTTGACTTCACCATACCATTTATATGCCCATGTTAACTTAATGCCGTCCCCTTTATCTGTTTATTTAGTATTTATTAATTAGTATCTCTTGATGATATTGTAGCAAGTTAAACCTAAAATCATGTTTTCCGTAAATAATTTAAATAAGAATGCAATTTACGAGTTTGTTGTTTGATTATTATATATTAGGTACTCAATTAAAAATTTAAATTTAAAAAATTAACACTTCTAATATGGTAGGTATGGCTGGCGGCATACATTTAGTATGAAATTCGGAAACATTGAATTTTCGCATAAATCCACTTTATTGTTTTAAAAAGCTCATGAAGCACTTACAGGAACAGTAAACAGTTTCTCGATATCTTGTATAATTAAAAATCAAGTGAAATCACTTATCATTTCCACCCTGTACCTATACTTTTAAAAATAAACTCATTTTATACGTTCATTGTATAAGTATCTACAATACAAATACCTAACCAACCTAGTTGACGTTTTATAAAGTTATTGACTGTTTTATAGTCTAAGTGTCATCGAGTGACCGCTGGTGGATTTGCCATTTACCTGACCTACCCCTTTATTACTAAACGTTTAATATCAGATGAATAGTTACGCACCAATTCTTTCATTCAGTCGTCAGTAATTGAACTTTCGGAAAAACATGACAAAGCGTTGTGTGACCATACAGACGCTATTCAACTTTTATTAGTAAGGAAGAGTATATTTTATGTTGGTAGAAACACAATAGCATAGACTAATGTTTTGACACCCTCTTAAAATTTTTTCTAAGTAGGCAGATGTAATTAAACTGGGTACTGTAGGTAGACAGCCCTATCGCATGTTGTCATACTGTGACGTACTGCGCGACTGTTGACATTTATTTCAAAAATATGGCCGAGTTGGAATACTGTATAGATAGTATTACCGTGCCAGTAGTTTACGTTTGCCTGCTACTGAATGAAAAAAAAAACACACACACATTGGCACAAAAAAAAAATAAACACTAGCATTTTAGAAAAAAACTTACCTTTCCTTCCCTCGATCCGGTCGCGAACACTTCGCTATCATGTCCCCACGCACAGCACCAAATTATTCTAGAGTGTATTCCGTTCGTCTTGTCCGTGCCGGCGGCGATGCCAAACAAATTTGTGTCTTTCGACCGCTCGTACAGGGTCCACCTTCGGTCGCGCGACACTGAGAGAAGTCGTTGGCTGTCCGGCGAGAAGGCAAGTTGGGTCACAGTGAGCTGATGGGAGACGAGCACTTGGAGCTTCTGCCAGTTTGATGTGTCCCTGGTGACAAGTAAAAATTGGTTATTTGTGTCTACAATACTAATCTGGACTTACACAACAAAATCCCAACTAATATTATAAATGCGAAAGTAACTCTGTCTGTCTGTCTGTCTGTCTGTTACGCTTTCCCGCTTAAACCTCGCAACCGATTTTGATGAAATTTGGCATAGAGATAGTTTGAGTCCCGGGAAAGAACATAGGATAGTTTTTATCCCGGTTTTTGAAACAGGGACGCGCGCGATAAAGTTTTTCTGTGACAGACAAAATTCCACGCGGGCGAAGCCGCGGGCGGAAAGCTAGTATGTGATATTCTGAATGACGCAAGGAAGATAAGAAGAGAAATTTTAGAAAAATAGGCACTGGACAATCACATCTGAGTCACTCCACGTCGGGGATTTTCAGATTAGCTGTTTGGCAGCGGTCGGCTTCCAATCTTCTGCGTGCTATTTGCCGTGTCCATTGCCATTTCAGCTTGCTGCATATAGTACGTTTCATCCACGAAGACGCGCCCCACCGTGCCCGTATAGCTTCTGGACTTCGGGCCTCAGTGGCCTCTCGGACTCCGGTCTTACCAGATGAGCACGGAGGCGTGCTCCTTGGTGGTGGCCTTGCAGGCCGAGGCCAGCAGGCGGCCGTCGGCGCTGGCCTCGAGCGCGAACACCTCGTAGCCGTGCCCGTATAGCTTCTGGACTTCGGGCCATAGTGGCCTCTCGGACTCCGGTCTTACCAGATCAGCACGGAGGCGTGTTCCTTGGTGGTGGCCTTGCAGGCCGAGGCCAGCAGGCGGCCGTCGGCGCTGGCNGCGCTGGCTTCCAGCGCGAACACCTCGTAGCCGTGGCCGTATAGCTTTTGGACTTCGGGCCAGAGCGTGTTTTGCATTAACGTCTCTTCCGTGGGCGGCTCTGCGAAGTAAAGAAGTAAATTACATTTAAACTGTACCATAATAAGCACAATGAGTATAATACGTGATACTTGATAACGACAGACGCTTTCAAATTTAGGCCCAGAACACACGGTGAAACGCAATTTCAAACCGGTTTCAAACTGGTCGCGTCATGTGTGGTCTCTCAACGGAATCTATGGCAGAAACTTAGGTGCAACTCAAAAGTAACTAGAAGTTGCAGTTTCGTTGCAATTGCGTTTCACCGTGTTCTGGGCCTTAGGCGACTTTGGAAGTGCGACAGACGCGTCAGTCACGCGGAGTGACAGACGCGCTATCGATGGTTTCATGGTATAAAACGCCACTATAGATGACCCACGCTGAACTGTCCCACCAAACTCAATGACAGGGGGCGCTACCATCGTTCAACTATATGGTTTCCAACATGGCAAAAATCGGAACCAGCGATCCGGTATTGACGGTGGCGCCCCACTGTCAATGTCATTGATAGGACAGTTCAGTATTTTGGAACTATACCTTGCTTGCTTCTGCTTCATGCTTCTGACGTCTTAAGAGCGTTGTAGCAAAAAGTTGGCGTTCGAATTTTAGGTTTTTATTGCTTGACGTCGCGTAGTGAGTGCGCAAACTGCATTTATCTGTACAATTTCAACGCTGCGTCGACTAAACGATCTTAATCCGTAGTTGTATCGTACCTAAGACAGTACATCATACATAATAATAAAGAAATAATGTATAATTTACCTATTTGATTTTTTCTCAGATCAGACTTTTAGCAAAATCAAGTTACGTAATTAATGTATTTTTTACACTAGTAAATCCCGCGACAAGTTTTTAATCTTTAAATTGAGTAAAGTAATAAGTTGATGGGTTTGAAAGAATTTATGTTTTATTTTATTCTATTTACAGCATCAAAAGCTTGTTTATGAAAAATATTTACTATTTCAATTTTACTTTTGACTTTTTAGTTTTTATGATGCGGGTTGGAAAAATTAAAATTCATTCTGATTTTGTGACGTTTCCGCACATAAATATGGATAGGTTAAATAAATAGAATGAAATGTATGAAAACGAGCGTGCCATTTTTTAAACGTTATCTATAATATCTGTGTCCATCAAAGAGCTCGTAACTAAACATCGTAAGCGCCATTCAAATTATTATCTAAAAGTTAATAATAAATATTTAGTTTTTGTAAATCTAAACAAGTCAGGAAATCAAAGAGGTAAATACTGATATCATTGTGATTTTATAGAATTTATTATTATAAACCACGGTCGTATAATGCTAAAAAATCAGAGGTAACTTTAAGATTTTTATCCATAGAGCAAAATTTATCTAATCGTGTTTTTAAACAGTTATCCCATTAGGTACACATGCGTTCTGTAATACAAACCCATCAAAAACAATACTTGTCAAAAAACCAAGTCTCACTACTCAGTTGTTCTACGGTAAAAAGTTGTGAGATCCATGTAATACCAAGTCCAGTCCAGGAAATCATTAACGTTTTACATAAATATATTGACTTGGCCATCGCATGAAAACACGTGTAAATTAAATTATTTAGTGCGAAATGAAACGAAATTTTGCATGCCTGTGTAGACATGCAAAATTTCAGCTCAATGGGAAAACGGGAAGTAAGTAAATTTTAAGTTGCAAGATTTTACAACTCCAGATGTCAAAGAAAATAAAAGCTTGTAGATAGCTTTACAAAGAAAAGAAAGATTTATGAAGAAAATAAAAAGTACTGTCTACGATACATTTGTTAGGCCGTGTTGCACCGTCTTACTTTAACATTGACATCAAAATTTTGGATGTCAAAAATCTGTCTAACATAAAACACCGGTTATTGTCAGTTAGGGTCAAAGTTAGGTGGTGCATCTCAGCCTTAGTGTATTTTAATTAAATTTAATACAAATAAGGATGACGAAAATAATCGATAAGTGATCTCACTCGAATATTTCTTATAGTAGGTATACAAGATGTCGAACAAATGGTTACTTACTGAAAAAGTGCTTCATGAGACCTAGCAAACGGCATCAATAATATGTTTAAGAACGAACTGAATCTATTCAAAAAACCTATATTTCCAGCTTTCATACATTTAATACAGTTACAAACAAACACGAAATCAATGGTTTCTGAGAATTCTGAGTGCCTTAATGCCGTCCCCTTTATCTGTTTATTTAGTATTTATTAATTAGTATCTCTTGATGATATTGTAGCAAGTTAAACCTAAAATCATGTTTTCCGTAAATAATTTAAATAAGAATGCAATTTACGAGTTTGTTGTTTGATTATTATATATTACTCAATTAAAAATTTAAATTTAAAAAATTAACACTTCTAATATGGTAGGTATGGCTGGCGGCATACATTTAGTATGAAATTCGGAAACATTGAATTTTCGCATAGATCCAGTTTATTCTTTGACCTATTTATTGTTATTGTTTTAAAGAGCTCATGAAGCACTTACAGGAACAGTAAACAGTTTCTCGATATCTTGTATAATTAAAAATCAAGTGAAATCACTTATCGTTTCCACCCTGTACCTATACTTTTAAAAATAAACTCATTTTATACGTTCATTTGTATAAGTATCTACAATACAAATACCTAACCAACTTAGTTGACGTTTTATAAAACTATTTGTCTAAGTGTCATCGAGCGACCGCTGGTGGATTTGCCATTTACCTGACCTACCCCTTTATTACTAAACGTTTAATATCAGATGAATAGTTACGCACCAATTTCTTTCATTCAGTCGTCAGTAATTGAACTTTCGGAAAAACATGACGAAGCGTTGTGTGACCATACAGACGCTATTCAACTTTTATTAGTAAGGAAGAGTATATTTTATGTTGGTAGAAACACAATAGCATAGACTAATGTTTTGACACCCTGTTAAAATTTTTATTAGTCATTTATTTTTTCCTGACCAAACAGATACCATAATAATATCTTTTATCTATTCTACCCATATTCTGTAAGTAAAATAATAAAAAGTTTGAAAAGAAAGAAATTACAAGTCCGATTTACCTAAACAAATAAATTAAAAATACTTGCGGATCAAAAGTACTCAATCATACTACAATTTACGAAAAAATCACGCGTGACGCATATACGTCAGTGGGCAGTCAACTGACATAGACCCGGCGTCTACGAGTGCCAAAGCACGACTGATTTATGCCATTTGATGCACCCGATTTTATAGTATTTTCAAATTAATTTTTCATTTGAAGATTGAAGATAGATATTTTTTCTTTTTCACACAATAATAGTACTATGTTTCTTCTTAAGTATAAAGTAGTTTATGTTGCCAAATGACTTTTAGATTATGAGATGTGACCTGTTTTCTTGCAGTAATTTTCTCGAATTTTGACTATCTTAGACATGATAAAAATGCATTTTAATGAATTAAACATCAAAATTTTCTCAATACACTTTCTTCTTCAGGGTATGCTTATTCTAATGAATACATTCTATCTTCTTACTTAGAAATAAATTTGTTGTAATATTAGTTCAAAGTTGTGCCTTCGCGAGTTACCTGGAAATCGGGCTTTCGAAATTCGCTGTTTTCGTAGGCAAAAATCCAATTTGAACGAGATTTTGTCAATAGACATTCCGTAAAAACGTATGATAATTACGATGATATAAGTCAAAAGAAGCTATAACAATAAATTATATGACTAAAATCATTTCGAAATCTGCCAAATTCTCGATTTCTGCATGAAAAATGTGACAACGCTCTTAATGTGAAAGCGGTTTGAAGATAACACATTAAATGAAAGACTGTAGGCATTAACTTACTAGTGAGTGTGACGGGCGTGAAGTGTCTCTCTTCGTCGCCCGCGGGCTCCTCGTCGCTGAACACGGCCTTGTTGGACAGCCCTAGTGACGGCTGAGTCGCGCCTTCGGGGGCCGCGCCTGCAACACACACGTTGCAAAATCAAGTTTCTGTACAGCTTTTAAATGTTTTCATATTTTATTATTTACTTTTACGTTCTGTATGATACAATCACAATACAATAACAAACAAATTACCACTACCTAATTATAGTCACGATGTGAAGACCTTCTCTTCGGCGGTGGATACGAACGTTGTACTGCTGATGGTCAATACTGCTACCAGTCGGGCTAGGATGCAAACCGTGATAAAATCTTATCGATAATTTTAGACGACAAACGTATGGGCTTATTGCGTAAAATCGATAAATTGGCGCGCTACAAGCTTATGGCAGCGCGCATCGTAGGCCTACGGGTCGTAGACATGTACTTGAGGACGCGCGATTTCGTGGTCTGCTTACCTTCGCTGCCTTCCACCAGGTCCTCGCCGACCAGGCTCTTGAAGTTGAGCAGGAAGTTCTGCGGCGCCTTAAAGACCCGGATGACCTTCTCCTCAGCAGCGGAGGCGAAGGTCGTGCTGCTGACGGGAGCCACAGCCGCCAGGTCGTAGCCGTGGACTTGTGGACGCGCGATCTCGTGCCATTCTGGTGCGAGGTCTGAAAAGGTGTTTGAACTTTAATTCAAATATTTTATTCAGTACATAGGCACTTTCCAAGGCACTTATGTACACGTCCCAAATATATATACATACATAGCTTGCCCTACCACCACTTCGGGACAACATATGGGCTGGTGCTGAGAAGAAGTGGCGGAAGAAACTCAGTCACCTTTGTCAGCCTCTTTTTCAATAAAATACAGTAATTTATAGTTTACATGACACGCAATAAGTGCGAGCTAGGCAGGTAAAATCCAGCCATCCATTTAGAGAATATTACAATAGCCTAATTAAATGGTGTCAGTGTCAGACTGCTGATATTTAACTGGTCCGCGGACCAGATTTCCGGTGGGCCAGATAATACCTAACCCGATAGAAGGATCGGTAATTCGATATCCGTCGTCCGTTGGAATATTATGGTGAACCCATTTCTAGTACAAGTACATTTAGCTGAAATGGAGGGTTTAAAACACTATCAATGATTTTCAAGCTGACAATATCCCAACGGTGTCCGTTTCAGATAGACTGATTTTGAAAGAACGGCAGGTGTGCGGTTTTATCGGACTCGTCCAACAGGCAGCCGCAAAGATACCGACACTTGCGACTCCCATGCGCCCGAGTCAAGCTTCAGTCAAACCGATCACTGAGGGCACATAGGACGCGCGTCCTGTCATTGGTCACGCTAACTAGGTCTGTCCCATTCTAACCTTACCCTCTCGCTTCCACGGCGCGTGCAGGCGCGCGGTCTGGTCGGCGGACACGCTGATGAGGTAGCGGCCTAATGTCGGCTCCCACTTCAAGTCCTCCACGCAGCCAAAGTGGCAGCCTCTCATTCGCCGGAATCACCAGCTAGCTGTCTCGCTCTAAGCTCACCCTCTCGCTTCCACGGCGCGTGCAGGCGCGCGGTCTGGTCGGCAGACACGCTGATGAGGTAGCGGCCTAATGTCGGCTCCCACTTCACGTCCTCCACGCAGCCAAAGTGGCCGCCTCTCATTCGCCGGAGTCACCAACTAGCTAGCTTTGTCCCACTCTAAGCTCACCCTCTCGCTTCCACGGCGCGTGCAGGCGCGCGGTCTGGTCGGCGGACACGCTGATGAGGTAGCGGCCTAATGTCGGCTCCCACTTCACGTCCTCCACGCAGCAGCAGTGGCTATCGACACCACTTGCGACTCATGCGCCGGAGTCACCAGTTAAAGCCTGGTCTGTGAGCACGTAGAATTTTGTTCAATGACCCCAAGCTACCCATCCTTATCGCTCGCGCGTAATTATGTTAGCATTATGGTAGCTCGCACACTCATTGCGGGCGCCCGTCGCACAGTCGCGACAGCAATATAATTACGCGCGAGCGATAAGGATGAGTAGCTTGGGGTCATTGGACAAAATTCTACGTGCTCACAGACCAGATTATAGCATCGGCGATGGCGACACTGCGCGTGCATAGGCCAATGATAGAACGCGCGTCCTGTCATTGGTTGCGCTAGCTAGTTCTTCCACTTTAACCTTACCCTCTCGTTTCCATGGCGCGTGCAAGCGTGCAGTCTGGTCGGCGGACACGCTGATGAGGTAGCGGCCTAATGTCGGCTCCCACTTCACGTCCTCCACGCAACCAAAGTGGCCTCCACATACCACCTGGGATTCCCATGCTCCTGACTCCTGGAAAAGAACGATAACGATTACAGCATTTTGTTTAGCTTTATCTGATGACCCGGTATCTGTTTCATATTATAAGGAGACACTTGAGCCTCTTTCTGGTCTTTGGGTGAGTTGTTTATAATTTTATGCGCTCTTGTTCAAGTCAAAATAAATAATATTAATTATAATAATAATAATATTAATTATTATAATTATTTTTTTAAATTGTTTTTACCTGTGGGAACCTATAAGTGGTTTACTCGTTGCCTATCTTATGTCATTATTACACACTGTAAAACCCTGGTTTTCCTAAATAAATAAATAAATAAATAAAACTAAGGCCTTTCCCACAATACCCTCTCATCGCGCTGTAGCGTTAATTGCCCGAAAAAAACAAAATGTTGCGTCAGCGCTGTGAGGGCGCTGGCAGCGAAAGCTGTGGTCACTCCACAGCATCTTTCACCCCTTACTTTCAAACTATGTTAAAATATAAAAAAACAACACCATAGCATACCTTATTTGACGACCAGATGTGAAACGATCCATTATATCCATGTCCCAAGAAACTATCCCCTTTAGGTCCGAACCGGCTTCCGTAGAAGCCGAGCGCGTTACCCCCCACCTCCCCTACTCTCACGCGCTCCACCCACACGCCCCCGCCCTCCTCTTCTGGTTCCCACACGATCAGCGTCTTGTCTAGAGAGGAGGATAGCAGCCGATACACTGGCACCTTTTTGTAGAAATCTGCAGAGGAAAAATAATGAGATGAAGTAGAATGATGATTGATAAATCAAATTTTAAAATACAGTTTGATGTCAATTCTTAGGTCTTTAGCTAGAAAATGAAGTGTGTATGTGGTTGAGAGTGGTTATCAGTTTTTTTTTTTCAAGCATTTCAGAGAAATAATTTAGATGTTTGTGTCAAAGTTACGCAAAAAATCGCGCAAGAAATTATGTAACAGCTTCTTTAAGTAGATTAATCTTTAACTTTGCAAATAAGCATGATTGTTCGCCAATATTGCTCAGTAACGTCACTGTATATCGTACGTAAATTAAGTAATTAAATGTAGTGGAAAATGTTATCAATATTCTAGCTACAGTATACTCAATATTGCACATTTCCATATAGTGTTTGACGCAATATCATTATGTATATTGGCGCAATTTGCTGTGCAATATTGTGTATCATCCAGTATTTTGTTACCTCTAATTGTCATGGTTGATCGCGGACATTTTATGTCTGCAAATCCTTGATATACACATTCTGGCAGCATGAGAAATGGAAAAATAAAAAAGTAAGAAGTGTGATTTAGTAATCTTTTCTTTTTGGTATGTGATAATTTTATCATCAAGTCTATATTCAGGGTTGCACTCTGAAGGCTTCATATGTATTCTCATTTTCTTTCCCTACCGTACATTTCTCCACTCTCATTATTTTATTTACCCAAAAACAGGGAAACTTAACCCCTTTATCTATCTATGTTATAATTTCAAAACAAGCTCAGTAAACTTGAAATTCATGTTAATTGATGTATGGCAACTTACCATATGGATGCCACTGGACACCATACACCCAGCCTTCATGTCCAGCCAACACTGCGTCTAGTTTCACAGACCAGTCTTGGTTGTGTGCATGGAACAGTTTCTCTTCCACGCGAATCTCTGAAGTGGGTGTGTGCACAGTGTGGGGCTGTATCCGCCACAGTCTGATGTATGTGTCTTGTGAGCAGGAGGCTAGTAGTATTGCATTGTTCTCTAGAAAAGGGTAGGTATTATTTAATTTTTGGACCAATAAGTATTTTTTTCAGTAAGCAAAAGAAAAGCTTAAAGGCTTTGATTAATCTCCTGAGTTCTTAATTGGCTATCCTATAATATCATTTATCTAACAGTGATGTCAGTCATTCCTTAAAATCATGAAATAAGTTTGAAACAAAAAAAAGATTGAATATGGTGAAGTGATGGCAAATTAATGAGGTTACCAGTAACATAATTACAAATGTAACTAAAATACCAAACAAACAGTGTTTGTAGTGAAATAATGACTAAAATATTACACCAATTAGTATTCACAAATGATACACACCAACATTTAATACATCCATTCCCCTCACCCAGTCTTCATGTCCAACTAAAGAGTGTACTTTGTGGTATTCTTTATTATCGCTTGCATAGATGTGTATCTTGTGGTCATCGAGGGCACAGAAAAGGAGAGGCTCTTCCACTGAGGGTAGTATATGAGCATGTAATGTCAGGCATAGACCAGAGTGGAGATTAATGGTTTGCTTGAGTGATGTTTCACCTAAAATAAATAAAGGAAAAGTAAGTAAAATTATTTATGATTTGTTAAATAATGCAACATCAAATTCATAGCACTCATTAAATGTAATTTAATTTTTTTAAGAATGTTCTAAAGTAGCTCAGTTGGAAGAGGAGTCAAAAGGTTGTGAGTTCAATTCTCGCCTTAGGCAGTTCAATTTTTTCAAGTTGTTTTAAAAATGTGTTGATTTGTAACTCGTAACAGTATCTGTATGTCAGATATGAAAGAGAATATTATTGTTATATTGAAACATTTATTCACTTACCATCGATTCTTTCCCAAATTTTTATGGTAGAATCAATTGATCCAGTATAAATAATTAAATTGTTTTCATTTGTGTACATCCCAAACACACATGTAACTCCCTCTGTGTGTCCTTCAAGTTTACTAGTAACTTGCCAGCTTTTCTCAAAGGTCCATACTGCAGCAGTCTTGTCAGCAGAACAAGATAAGAATTCTGTGCATGCTGCGTATGGCTTATTTAGCCACTTAACAGCGTTAACATTTGAAGTGTGGTGACTAAGGACTAAAATATCTTTGCCTCTTAGTTCCTGTAAAAAGATAAAAATACACTAATACAGCTGGTTCTCGATTCCAGATGGTGAATATTTATTTAGAGGTTGGATTATGTTTGATACAGCGGAACATCTAGTATGTACATAGTAGCATCACTATGAAGTAAGAGAAGCGTAAGGCAACTATTTAGGTATCTTTAGTAATAAAATTATGTATTTTTGCTTACCGGATTGTAAATAACAACAGCATTTGACGCACCATAACAAATAACCCCATTGCTATTCCAATCTACTATTTCAGGTGTGCGGTTGCAAGCTACAGACGTGTAAACTTGTTCCACGGATACTTCCATGTTTTAAGCAAGTTTCACTTTGTCTTAAACAAGAAAACTTATGAATAATTTTTATTTACAATTCAACATCTGTTTGAGGTTATATTTGTGTCAAAAACACGTCAAAATTATTATATTAGTTTACCGAGTTCCATTTTAATGAAAATGTTTTTTTCCAAAATGATCGATATTTTGTATAGAGTCAACAGAAATAATGAACTTATATCAAAATTATTTTAATTGTTAATTTCAAGTGAGTGTCGGATGAATGCAAATAGAAATTCTTGAACGCGGAACGGAACGGAGTGAGATTGCATTTTTGGATGCGTTCAATAATAATTATTTGTGTATTCAAATATCTACTGAACTATTAAGGAAAATTATTTGATATCAAATTTTTTTTTTCATTTTTTAATGAATTTTCAAATGTGTTTTGGTTTAAATAATTTATAGTGGTCTTTGGAAAGGTCAACTAGTGAAACATGAAAATTAAAATTAGTGAATGTGCCAATGAAATAAAGCGGGAAACTACTTTTATGAAGTGTCAAAAAAATAAAATAACCTACGCCTCGTAAAAATATAAAGAGTGTTTTTAATTAATTTTTAAATGTAAAGTGTAAACATCAGTCATATTCACAATGCCTGAGGTGATGATATCAGGTATCCCTGTTAGTTTTCCATTTGATCCATACGATGTCCAGAAGGCGTATATGGAACGGGTGATTGAAAGCCTGCAAAACAGCACTCATGCTGTACTGGAATCTCCCACTGGAACTGGAAAAACTTTGAGTTTATTATGTTCATCATTAGCATGGCTGCTTGTGAAGAAAGCCCAGTTGCAAATGAATGCCCAATTAGGAAATTTTACGGAGCACAGCGGTGGTGGTTTCAGCGGTTCCCTGCGAGATAATCTGAAATCAGGAGCGGGAAAAGCAAAGGACAATGTATCTTGGGGTATGCCTAAAATTATATATTCATCCAGAACTCATTCTCAACTCACACAGGCTATGCAGGAGTTGAAAAGATCTAGCTATAGACATGTAAAGGCCACAGTACTGGGATCAAGGGACCAAATGTGCATACATCCTGAAGTTTCTAAAGAATCTAATAACATGAACAAAGTACACATGTGTCAATTAAAGGTCAAATCCAAGACATGCTTCTTTTACAATAATGTGGACTCAAAAAAGGAAGATAGATCTGTCAGAGGTGATGAAATACTGGACATTGAAGATTTAGTAACTGTTGGTAAGAAACTAAAATGTTGCCCATATTATTTATCTAAAGAACTGAAACAAGATGCAGATATTATATTCATGCCATACAATTATTTATTAGATCCAAAATCAAGGAAGGCTAATGGAGTAGAATTGATTAACAATATAATAATACTTGATGAAGCCCATAATGTGGAGAAGATGTGCGAGGAATCAGCATCTTTACAAATCAGGAGCACAGATGTAGCATTATGTATAGATGAAATAACACATGTAATGAGATCTTTTAGTGAAAACTCTGAAGAGCAGTTGGATTTAACAGTTGATAATAATCAGCCAAAAGACTTCACTTGTGAAGATTTATGTGTTTTGAAAGAAATCATGCTTGCTTTAGAAAAGGCTATAGATGAAATAAGTGTTGGCAGTGAAGGTACTACTTTCCCTGGAGGTTTTATATTTGAATTGTTAGCTAAAGCTGAGATTAGAGATCACAACCAAATGGCTGTCATCACTTTACTAGGAAACCTTGTTACATACTTGTCCACTGCAAGTGCCTCACCATTTCAAAGAAAGGGAGTTGGTCTGCAAAAGTTTGTAGACTTGTTAAATGTTGTATTTAGTGGCACAACACATTCATACAAAGAAAGAGTTAAAATGTGCTATAAAGTCCATGTTCACATTGAAGATAAGAAGAATAAAAAATCTGATAGTTGGGGTGCACTTAAGGTTGGAAATGCAAAATCAGCTGAGCGGGTTCTCAGCTACTGGTGCTTCAGCCCTGGGTTTGGAATGAAGCAGCTATTAGATCAAAATGTTAGGAGCATTATTTTAACTAGTGGAACTTTAGCACCTTTGAAGCCATTAATATCAGAATTAGGAATTCCAATTGGTGTTCAGCTGGAAAACCCTCATATAGTCAATGGCAATCAGATATGTGTGAAAATAATCAGCCAAGGCCCTGATACAACTCCTCTTAATTCAAATTACCAGAATAGAGACAATCCAAAATATATTTCATCTTTAGGAAGAACAATATTAAGTTTTACCCGGGTGGTGCCGGATGGTTTGTTAGTTTTCTTTCCTTCATATCCAATCATGACCAAGTGTCAAGAAGCATGGCAATCTGAAGGTATTTGGTCTAGTATCAACAACATCAAGCCCATTTTTGTTGAGCCTCAAAGAAAAGATACATTCAATGCTGTCATCAGTGATTTCTATGGCAAAATAAGTGATCCTAGCACTAAAGGAGCCTGTTTTATGGCAGTTTGCAGAGGAAAAGTTTCTGAGGGCTTAGATTTTGCTGATATGAATGGTAGAGCAGTGATTATAACTGGATTGCCATTCCCACCTCTGAAAGATCCTAGAATTATACTTAAAAAGAAGTATCTAGAAGAGCTTAGGGTTCATAACAAAGAATTTCTATCTGGAGATGAATGGTATTCTCTAGAAGCTACTAGAGCAGTCAACCAAGCTATTGGAAGAGTTATAAGACACAAAAACGATTATGGAGCAATATTACTTTGTGATGGCAGGTTTAACAGTCCTAAGTTGAAAAGTCAACTGTCAGCATGGTTGAGAGATCATATTAATGTATCAAACAAGTTTGGTGAAACTGTAAGTGAGATTTGTCGGTTTTTCAAAACTGCAGAAGCGACCTTGCCTTCACCTAAACTAAAACCATTGCTTCCTAATGAAGACAATAAAGGATATAAAAACTATGAGCCCAACAATGTTGGTGGGGTATCTTTTCCTACAACTAGCACTAGAATTGTCAACAAAGGCACTAAGAAGGCAGTAAGTCAATATCCTAATTCAAATGAGGTGTATGCTGATTTTTCAATGGATTTTTATAAGAATGCTCAAGCATCAGCCTATGTGAATGAATTCAAACCAAAAGAAGCAAAGGATCTTTTTAGTGCTTTAGATAGTAGTAAAAATACATCACAGGCTTCTTCTCAATCATTGGTTACAATTCACAAGAGGAGTGCAGAAGAATCCAATGTTGCTTCAATAGCCAAAAGAAAAAAGTTGAAGATAAAGCCCTTTGGTTTTGAGGACAATTTGAAAAGTGGTGAAATTACAAATATTTCTGCACCAGAAAAAGTGGCCCCAACATCATTGATAGACTTTGTGAAGGAAATAAAAGTACTTTTACAGGCTGACCAGTATAAATTATTTCAAACATCAATTTCAGCTTATAAAAAGGATGGAAATTATGAAATATTTTTAGAAGTGTTGAAAAATGTCTTTCAGAACAGAAAAATGTTTTATTTATTTAAAGGCATGAAGAGATTTTTAAAAGAAGACCATAAAAGTACTTTTCAAGAATACTGTGATAGTGTAAATTTTAACTGTTGACCCAGTTTTTAGAGAATTTGAATTATTATTTAAATTGGGTTTACTAATGTCTCATTAAAATTATAATAAAGAATTTCAAATATTAAAATCTATTTATTATCTACTTTCCAAATATGATTATTAAAATTCATTATTGGCAGGTTCATTGATCTTGCTAGCAATTTCAACTGAGTTAATCCTTAGCATAGTCTGTTGAGCTCTTTGGAAGTTGATGCGCATGAACTGCTTCCTCCTCTTCTTCTTGAAGTGTGTACGTGTGTGAGATAGGCCCTTGGAGATAACTGTTGCAGTGATGTTTACTAAACCAGGCTGGACAAGAGGTCGGCCAATAAGGGAAAAGTCTTTAGTTCCAGCAACCAGTACCTTTTCCAATTTTATTTGGTCACCTATGTTAGGTGGCCAGTATCCTTCAAGCACTAGTAAATCTCCATCAGTAACTCTCCATTGCTTTCCCAAAAGATGTACTACTGCGAAGTTTCGTGATGCTTTATCTTCTATCAGTTTATTGCATGTTGCTATAACATCTTTTGTTGTTTCAGCCTCTGATTTGCTTTCAACTGGTGCGATATTAGTTATAAATCTAGACAAAATCCCTCCTGAAACAAAAAAGCAGTTGATTAATCTCAATGTTCCGTCCGTGACCACTTACTATAAGATTACACTTGAAAAACACAAACCTGGTCCATTTCTGAGAACATTGGTAATTTTCTGTAATCCTGCTCTGATTACAGACATTATTCAAACAATATTATAAGGGATTTAATGTTAGTTTTAATAAAAATTCATAGTTCAGCAACTGCAGGCACTGCAGCAGACTCCCAATAACATAACCTCAAAATTTGACATTGACAGTTTAGCCATGATAGGTTTCGTTCAGAAATTAGGTTCATAAATTAATAGCCATAAAAAATAATAATTTAATTTGAATATAACAGCACCTTGATAAATGCTAATTGCAAAAAAAAAAATCTCACCTCCCAACCTGATCCATTACCATTACCTAAACGTTTCCTAATCTTTTCTCCCACACCGTTGTGGCTACGCAAGTTGCGAAAGCCAAGAAAAAAAATCTTAAAAAAAGCAGCGGGAAAAAGTAAAAATTAGGTTAAATCGAGATGCGAGCCTTGTTTATTTTATTGAGTCGAAAAAAAAGGAACCAACAAGTGGTAGTAGCTCATTGGTGATGCGATATTAGTTCGAGCACATCCAAGAGCGAGGTAAGGTCGACCTACCTACTTTTGTGTGGTTTAAGTATCTAAGCAAAAATATTTTCAAAAAGAATATGCAAGGTTTCAAGGTTTTTTTTAGTTTTAGATTTGTCTAGCCTTGGCTTAATCAAATCATTCAGTGCTTCTAAAAGCTAAGCATTCAAGGTAGGTACTAACTTCATCTTTAACACTTTACCTAGGTGTAGTCCTCCGTGAAAGCAACGAATAAATCTTTCGACGAGGAAAATCGCGAGTAAGATGAATTTTAGTTGTAATTAAAATACTGCTTAGGAGGTAACTGTATAATGGAAGTACACCCAGTAGGATATCAAAAAACTGATCAGATAAAAAACGTCAAAAAAACACTTTTAAATTATGCAACGTGGAAGTCTAAATTAAAAATAATTACACACACACGCCCCAAAGCAAGAGTGGCTAGGTTAATTGACGCGTCACGTCTTCGAGTTATTTGAACTTATGTTGTGTGATCTTACTGTATATTTCTCTTTCATGTCAAGAGGTACCGTCCAAACTTTGCGAATCGGGAGATTAGGGCCGGTTGGGAGTTTAAAAACAGTCAAATCGTAACTTCGGCGGCTTAACCGGACTTAGTATATTGAAGTGAGGAAATGCTTCACTTTCCTCACTTCAATATTGCTCCGGCCAGTTTTATCAAGTTAAAGAAGATCATTACGCTAAAAAGTTACCGTCGGACTGTTCATTGCTGGAAGTAGAGTTTATAGAATGATAATTTTATTAAGTGCTTTATCTGAGACGCAAATAAAATGATTTGACTCTACTGGTGTATGTGTATGAAGCAGCACTAACAGTTCGGCAATTTGTTGAGACTTGGGGGTTACTGCCTACCGCTGTCCCGCATTTTTGGGTCTCTTTGTCGTTGTTGCACGTCAGTCATATCATCATCTCAGCCATAGGAAGTCCATTGCTGAACATGGGCCTCCCCCAATGCTTTCCATGTTGCCCGGTTAGTAGCGGCTTGCATCCAGCGCCTTCCTGCTACCTTTATGATGTCGTCGGTCCACCTTGTGGGTGGACGTCCCACGCTGCGTTTTCCGGTAAGCAGGCGGCCTCCACTCCAGAACCTTGCTGCCCCATCGGCCGTCAGATCTGCGTACTATGTGCCCTGCCCATGCCACTCCAGCTTGCTAATCCGTCGGCACATGAGTCAGTATTGGGCTTTAAATGAGAGAGACAGGTGGTTGTATCCGAATCAAAAATAAGGTCAACATTGTAGGGAGTAGTCTGGTAGTCTCACTAAGGTAGTTTACGGATTGCCAACATACTAACTAAAGTACAATATGGGCACCGTCGGGGAAGTGCAGGGGAAGAGAACATTCAGTCCTTACTTACAACGTTGGCCAATGTTTACGATCTTACCACACCTATCACTCAAAGCGGGATGCAGGCATAATAAACAGCGATTGATGGACCTAATCTAGGCCCCTCCCGCGATCTTCACCAGATCGTCGGTCCACCTAGTAGGAGGCCTGCCCACGCTACGTCTTCCAGCCCGTGGTCAGCGCAGGACCGTGCATTGTGGAATTTGGAGGAGGCCTTTGTCCAGTAGTGGACGTCATTTGGCTGAAACGAACGAACGAATGATGGACCTAAACACAGAAACTCAGTTATGAAATAGCTCCGCAGGATCGACTGGTAAGTTTGCTTCGAGAACGAAATTAATTTCAATCAGCTTCATTTCCTTAGTCAGCTACTTATGTATTACACAACAAACAATTTAATGTACCTAATTTCGATGCCTCTTTACGTGCCCTGTTTAGGAGTCGAACCCAGAACCAGAACCTCCCCACGCTGGTAATTATAAGAAAAACATGGAAACATATTGGATCAAGTAAGTTTTTTTGTTAATATACAATTATTTTTTTAACTTTGTCACTTAACTAACGTTATCGAATTTTATTATTTAAAGGTTTTTGACATTAGTTTTATAATTTGACTGCGTATTTTTCAGGTTCAATAGCATCAAACGGGGCTGGTTCAGCCATAGAGCGGTATCAGTATCGTTGGAAGCCTTTAATAAGTATAATGTGCAGCAATTATCCGTGTGTAGTTTCAAGGGAAAAGTATCGGAAACAATTGGGATACAGTTTGCTTTCCCTTATAAAACTATTATGTTTTCCTCCAGGGACAATTTCAGTCAAATCCGTTAAGCCGTGTTGCGTGATCGAGTGACAAACAACCATCCGACCAAATGATATAATACATCGAAAATAAACATTCAAGTTAACTTCGCTTGATGGCTACAGTTACCTACATTATGGAATTTCCTTTTGGTTCTATGTAAGCAGGAATTAATAACATGTAACAAAATATTTTTGAGAGCTACTTCATTTCTTTTCTGTAGTCTTTTTTGTTAATCTTATGCTTTATGTAAAGGCAAACTCTAAAGCAACAATTTAGTATACAGTACTTTAACAACTGTATTTAGTTCAGATAGTGATTATTAAGTTAGTAACACCTACTCAACACCTACCCACATAATCTAGCTTGAAATTAAATACCCAATGCAATATAAAGGCTTCATGTTGTTACCGCCGAGGTTTTTACCTACATTTACGTGCCAAATAGTAGAGAACACCTGTACACTACTATTAACTATATTTAGTTCCAGCCTTTGATTGCATTATTGTATCATCTAAATAACAAATGATCTCAGAAACGGTATAAAAATACGCGTCTTTAACTACAAGTGATTTTTCCTTATTCCCGCCCACAAAGTATTTGTCTCTACCTCATAAGTTTGTGCGATGAATAACTCGCGTTTGTGACGTAGCAAAGGGACAAGTAAGCAGCTAATATTCTCAAGTGCAAGAAACCAGGTTAGGCGATCCTGTTTTCAAAAATCCAGGACTAGCCGGTGCCTCCAGCTCTCAGCGCTCGGCGAGGGCCTTCGGAAGCATTCGGAAGGCTCCGCCGGCGTCCGGGGTGCGTCGCTATGGCAACGGGCGGGCACGCGGCGCTCTCGGCTCCGTCCGCGGCCGCTGCCGAAAATAAACACGAGAGCAACGCCTCGCAGGGCTGCCGTTGCGGCGACTCGGGTACTAGGACCCTCGTCACGTGATCACGTGGCCTAGTACTTTTCAGGATTTTTCATTTATTTTCTTAAAATTTTAATTTAGGATTGATTGTATGGCTATAATATAACGTTTTGAAAATGAATAAAATAATAAGGCAGTAGTTAGGTGGGTACAAAAATAGAAAATAAAAGGAAAGCACGGGCGAAGTGATGGGAAAATCGCAGTGGAGCGACTCCCAGCGGGGTGTATCTCGCCGGGAAAGTATCTAGGTGATGTTTGTTCGGCGTGACGGAGCGAGGCGGCCCTGCGCGGCGCGGGCCGGGGCGGGAGTTGCGCGCGCACGGCTCCCGCGTCAGTCGCTGGGCGACGCGCGGCCGGCGCACGGTCGATAGAGGACTCGAGCACGACCACGACACGCCATGGTGCGCGACGCGTGCACGCGCGACCGGCCCCGCGCGTCGGTGTGAGTGAGTGACCTAGTGCTGTGGACGACGCCGAACGCGGCCGCTGAGCTTACGGTCAGTCCATTATCCAACCCCACCTGCAAAGCCCGATAACACGGTTATGGTTATTGAGGCTTTCAGCTCCGATTGCGTTCCGAATCGGAGCGGAGACCTTCGATTTGCAAACGGTGTGTGATGTGAATGTCATTTGATGCTTGAATTTGGAATGTTCGAGCCAGAGCCACCGCGTGGCGGGATGATAAAAGCAACGAATGATCTATACGCGTATTTCCATGGCTGTACATCGCATACATGTAAACATTCAGCAATTTTCATGATTGGATCTTCTTGATTGATCGGTTAGTGATAAGACGTGACGGCTCTACCGTGCGTTAGCTATTCCCAGTTGCGTACCACGTTGGGACCTAATTTACTGCTGGATACTTTATGATCCACGTAGGTACACGATGATAAAAGTGTATTTTATTGTTAACTAATAATAAAGGTTGGAATCCGGGGCTTGAGAGTAATTGGTAGCAAATGAGGTTGGTGAGCGTCTAAGGCGCGCACACGAGGGGGTTGACAAATCACATCAAGTGGCAATTAATTATTCTTAACCTAGATTGGTGTGCAATTAATAGGAACATGTTTGTTTAGTTCATTTATTAGCAGATCACAGACGATATTGATGATCGTCAATAGAGGTGTTATTCAGTATTTATTGAAATTTCCTGAATGTCTACTTCTGTACTTTTCTCCATAAAATCTACATTTCAGAGGTTCCTAAAGTAGGTATTGCTTAGTATTTCCTATGTACGAGTATAAAAAGTATACATATAGACACACGTGGTTTGTGATATCACTTCATCTAGATTCGATACGGATTGGATTGTTCGAATTTTAATGGCTACCGAGACAGCCAGCGGTTTCGATTGCAAAGAATTTATGTTTATTTTAAAGTACCGAACACACATTTACGATATCATTGAGGAACACATAACATACTTACTTATATACCTAATATACTTACTTATATATCACATATTTATAGAAATAGTAATACGTATATAGCTGTGCGATTTGTCACAGACACGGTCGTAAGGTTAGTA